TCCCGCCGAGCAGGGAGCCCGATGCGGGGCTCGATCCCAGGACCCCGGGATCATGACCCGAGCTGAAGGCAGACGCTTAACGACTGAGCCACCCAGGCGCCCCCTTCTCGCCTACTTTTATTGGGCACCTCCCAGCCTTGTACCTGGTGTTCCTCCCCACCCCCCGCCCCACCCCCACCACTTTCCTTCAGTCCTGATGACAACTCTGAGAGGTGGGTGCATGCCTCGGAATGACAGATACGAGACGCCTAGGCTCAAAGAGCACAAACTGGTCCAAGTTATAACTCTAGCAATTTTACAGCCGGAATTTAAACCGAGGTCTATTGGATTCCAAAGTCTGTGTTTCCCCCACTATGCCACATGCCATGTCTCCTTCTTATTTAACCTTCCAGGTCTAGAATCAGGCACCAAGTTCATCTCCTCTCTCCCCTGTGCCTTCCCACCATCACCCTGCGGCCACAGCTGAGTTACAGGTAGACTGAGCATATATCCTAGCAATAGAGCCCGGGGCGCCCGAGGAGCAGGATTCCCAGCTTCTGGTCCTAACCGACGAGCCAGATTGCTCCATGGCCCTAGGATACATTAGCTTATACAGCTGCAAAATGGGTACCCATCATAAAAGAGAGGCGACGTGCTCCCTCATGGCAGAAAGAGCTCTTGGAATCAGACGGACCTAAGTTTGGGTTTTAGTTCTGTCATTTTACCTTTCTGAGCCCCAGCTTCCTAAATGAGAAAAGTAATACCCACTCTTTGTAGGTACAAATGGGACTTTACATGGTTTTTACACCCAGCCTTATTTCACCAAGAGCTGAAGGAAATGAGGTAAAATGTGTGACAGCAAAGCACGGTCCCAACGAGAGGGGCTACTGCCATGTGTCCTGGGGGCACTGGGACGTTGCGTTCCGTGAATGTGCATGCAGCCTGACTAGTGCAGGGAGAAGCCGTGGGCAGGGGACCCGGGGCCAGGCAAGGCTCACCTCTTGGCTGCTTCAGCTCATGGAAGATGACAATGTCATGTGGGTTATTCAGGTTCTCAGCAAGGACGGAGATTTCCAGGCCATTGAGCCGATTTGCACTGAAAATGGCCTCATTCTCCAGGTCTGTCCAGAACACCTTGTCCTGTGGGGGTACAGATGCAGAGGATGGGAGGTCTAGAGCCTAAAGGCATGACCTCAGTCTGAGAGCTTGGTCCCAAACCATTGTCACAAGAACTGCCCTTGCATCTCCCCTGAGCTCTCCTGTCCACACATTCATGGGGGGTGGAGGGGTGGGCTCTCAGCTTCTAATCTCTGGCATATACTCTGGTTCTTTCTGTCACAGAGGGTTATTTGTTGGTTCTGCACTTTGTCCTGAAGACTGCTCATTAATGCTGAGCTAGGCCTGCTTCCTGGAGCCCAGGAGAAACCCAAAGTTGGGTCTCGATGACTGTTACCGTTGCCGGGGCCTGGGACTAAGATTGGAGGGGATGTATGAGCTACTGAGGACTATTCCCTAATAGGTCCTCCTACAGCCTCCGGGTATACGTGTAAATATGCATCCAACACTTCGTCCGTATAAGCCTACAGGTGCATCTGCAGGCAAATCCACAATTACAGGTACAGCCATGCAGTTTCATGCACAGATCTGGACACGTACCCACAAAAGCACACTTGTACCAAAACAGACACTTAACTAAGTCTTGCTATAAGTATTTACATATTCACAAGCACCAGCACACACAGAAATGCATGCTTGTAAATGGATGCATTTATGTACACACATGCATATATACTTTACACATACCTGCCACGCATACGCACGAGCACACACACTTGTGTCTGAACACACCTGTCTTTCGAAGCAGGGGCTGGACTTGGAGGTGGGGCTTTGCCCACAATTTCAGAGCAGTGCTGAGTGATGTCACTCTAAGCAAATATGGCCAATGCCCACCATAGACCACCGTCCCCTTGCTTTCCCTCCCCTTGGTGGCCGAGTTAGTGTAGGGGAAGAGATCGATGTGGTGAGACCTTGGTTGGTTCTGGCTTCCCCATTCCCCAAGGAGAAAGGTTGTTAGGGTCAGAACACAGGCACGGGAGGGGTTGGACGCTTCACCCTCTGGGGAGCTTCGTGAGGACTGAGACGATGTCTGATTCACTTCTAGGACCCCAGAGTCCAGCGAAGGTCAGTGGAAGGGTGCTGAATTGAATAGCCTCTCTCAGGCTATTTCCAACAGTAGATTCTAAGGAAATGTATATTCCTTCTTCCCTCCCTCCCTTTATTGGGTACCTTCTGTATATGGGGGTACAGTGCCAGGTGCTGAGGGTACAAAGAGGAAACACACGTGGTCTAGCAACGTACCTGTGACAAGCGCTCTGAAAGGGGTCTTGGGAAGGAAGCACAGGACAACAGGCTGCCAGGCCTCTGTGTGCAGGCAGCTCACACACTGTGTACACACAAGTCAGCTGGATTCCCTGTGCCTTTGTTTCCATTTGGACAAGTCTCAGAGAGCCATCCTATTTGAAAAGCCTTTTCTAGGCTTCAGCTTCCTGATAGGGCCATGTCTCCCCTCCCGGGGCTCACCTCAAACACAGCTATCCCGAAAGGATGGCTCAGGAAGTCAGGGGAGGAAATCAGCATCTTCCTGTTGCCTCCACTGAGGTCAATGCTGGATAGTTGGTGAAGCTTGGAGTCCACCCAGTACAAGCGCTGGTTCAGCAAATCTTGGGGAGGAAAAAGGACAGGGGATCGGGTCTTGAGTTGGGATCCCAACCAGGATCTCCGCTCCTCTGTGCCCACTTCCCTACTCATATTTCCAGGCCAGGCCTCCCATGGAGGCCAGCCTGGGGCAACCATCCAGAAATACAAGCATGGGCACTATAAGGGGATATAAACACAAGACCCATGGAGCTCCAGATGGCAGATGGTAGCCCGCACCAGGTAGTGGGATAGGCCCCCAATCCAGGGGGAGGCAGGGCTCACCCAGGGTGATTCCATTGGGCCATTCAATGTTGTCTGATACCAGTGTTTGCCGGTCCACACCATTGAGCCCAGACTTCTCGATCTTGGCCTGGTACCCCCAGTCAGACCAATACATGAACCTAAAAGAGAGAAGAACTCCATTGGAATTTTAGTCAGGGGGTGGGGTTAGGGCGGTCTGGGTCACAGGGCTCAATGACCCATTGAATGTTGAAGATTATGCTCAGTGGGGACCGGGAAGGCCTCTGAAATTCACTGGAACCATCGAATCTAAGAGTTAGCAGTTGTGTTAGCTTCCCCTCATCTGAGAGCCCCGAGAGTCCACCCAGCCTCAGCTGAACAGCGTCTGAGCCCCTTTCTCCCACTCCGGCAGCTCTAACTGCAGCCCTAGAGGCCAGAGCAGGAAAGGCCCTCGTCAACCCTCTCTTACTTTCCTGGTCCACAGAGGGGAAAGTGGGCGGCTTACCAGGGGGTCTCACAGCTGGAACTCGGCCCAGGGTTTCTCTCTCTTCTTTCTCGAACGTTTATTGAGTACCTACTGTGTGCTATGCAATGAGCTGAGAGGTTTCACCTCCTGTACTTACAAATGCAGCCGTCACTGCCCCTCTACTCCCGTCCCTCTAGAGCAGGCAAATGACTTCTCAGAAATGGAAATCAGTTGTCACTCTCTAGTTTCTAAACTTTATGGTGGTTTCTCCTGTTGCCCTTAAAACAAAATCCCAAATCCTTCCCACAGCTGACAGAGCTCTGCCTGCCTCTTTGGCTGTCTCTCCCACCACCACCCTACCCTTCCAAACCCCACACGTGCCCCATGGGGCTCCAGGGCACCAAGCCTTTATCGGACAGGCCTTCACAGAACCTCGGGCCTCTACCCATCCCCGGGCTCCTTCTGTGTGAATGTCCTTGCTGTACAGAATCTTTCTCTATAAGTAGGTTTGCCCTGTTATCATCTCTGAAAGCACCCATTCTTGCCTTCCTACCACTTATACAATCAGTTATTTCTGTGTGCATTTGGGTGGTGTGGTGTATTTTACTATCTATTGTCCCCACTAGTCTGTAAGCTCCACTGAGGGCAGGCTGTCTGTCTTGTTTCCTCATTGTGTACCTGGCAGGTAGCTCATGTGTGACCCAGAACAGGCTCTTATTTAGTATTTGTTGGACAAAATTATGTTTTCATTCTAGCCCTACCACAGCCCCTGGAGAGTGTAATTAGTCCTATTTTATAGATGAGTAAATTGTGGCTCAGAGGGGTTGACTTCCCTCAGATCACGCTGTTAATAAGTAGTGGGGCCAACCTTCAAATTTATATACAAATGCAAGCTGAACTCTAAAGCCTGGAGGCTTCATTCTCTCTAAAACTGCCTCTGCTGAGACCTGGTGTCAGGCCAAGGCTGACCTGCGGCTGGAGGGCTGAGTGCTTCTGTTAGCAGCCGTGGAGTCGCTCTCCACCCATCCCCATTCTGCTCTGTACACCAAATACCTGACCCATGTGTGAACCACATCAACGGGCTTGGCTCCCTAGCCTTCTGACTTCCCGTTGCATTCAGCAAAATGTCTCAGCAGGAGGAAGGAGAGACTGAGGTCAGGGTTGTTCCAGACTCCTCTCTACAAAGTTGCCTCCGGCTGGCTACTGCTCTGAAGATGCTCCTCCTTCCTTCCCAACCCGGGTACCCCTTGCCGCAGGGGTAGGCAGGGGGCCGCAGGCCATTCTCCTACCCCTCAGGCCTAGGGCTGCTAAGGGCTCACTGGTAGGGACAGTGCATCAGACCTCACCCACTCCTCTGTAAACAGTCCCTTTGTGAGCCCTCCTCAAATGATCTGAATTAGGGTGTGCGGTGGGTTTCCTGCTGGGACTCGGACAGATCCACTGGACTGGAGATGGGCTGGGTGAAACCACGTGTGGGGGGACACACAGGGAGCAGGGCTGAAGTGGGGGTTAAGTGAGACGACCCAGCATCAGTAGGGTGCCTGGTCCCATGCTGGGCGCTCCTGTGTGGGCTCATTAAAGCGCAGCTGTCAGTTCCTGCCCAAGGCCTCACGCGTTCTGTCAGGTGCCACCGTGGCCCCCGGCCGCCCTCACTGGAAGAAGAAGGTTTTCTTATCCCCGTTTACAATGAAAGAAACAGTGATAGGAAGAAGCTAGTGATCCTGGTAAACTTAATATGACTACAGCTGCTGAAAAACCATGCCTTCCTGGGACATCCCTCCTGAGGAAGGGAGGGAGGGGGCCTGCTCTGTTCAAAATCACTACCCCCAAAATGGAGGTGTGGCCAGAGCCGGGCAGCCTGGGTGGTGAGGGGCCCAGAGACTGAGGGCCCAGGGGTGGGCAGCCTGGAGAAGAGCAGACCCGGTCCCTTTGGTCCTCATTATCTTGCTGGCTGTCCTGCGGGGCAGGGAGTAACCATGTTTGATGTAACTCCAGAAGCCAATGGAGAAAGTCAAAGTTAGGCAGATTTGGGGATCTGAGAAGAAAAAAAAAAATCCTGAACACTTTCTAATAGACAGAGCTGCCTTGAAATGAAACGGCCTGTGTGGGAAATAACGAGCTCCCTGTCCAGCCCCAGGAGCTTTTACTAGGCAATCTCTAGAGCCCGACTCTGCTCTGCGATGCACTGATTCTATGATATGATGAGTGAGTGGCAGAGTCCAGGAGAACCCTGGTGACCAGTGCCCAAAGAGCCCTTGGTCAGGGGTTAATAGTCTGAGGGGCCCACACAGACTTTCTTCCCTTGGGCCGTCTGAGTGGCCCAGGGCCTTCCAAAGTCCTCAAGATAGCTCTTATGACAGACACAGGAGGACTGAGTGCCTACTCAGGGAGAATGGGAAGTTTGGGTGGGGACACTCACCCTCTCAGGGGGTCGACTGCGATGGCCCGGGGTTCACTGAGGTCACGGCTGAAGAGAGTGCAGCGGCGGCCGCCATCAATTGTGGCCACAGAGATGGTCTTGTTGCCTGAGTCAGTCCAGTAGATGTGCTTGTGGACCCAGTCCACCGCCAGGCCCTCTGGAGAGTGCAGCTGCTCATCCATGAGGACCTCCTGCTCTGCCGGGTCGCTGGCCTTGTCCATGTAGGCGCTAGGAGCAACCAGAGCTGGCCATGGGGCAGGTGTTCTACCCATGGGTCCATCTGGACCTGCCTGGGCACCCTTTCCCCAGAGCCCCCTCCCCTCTAGGCCATGGCAGTGGATTTTAGAGGAACTTGGCTAGTTCCTGGGCCACCAGGGGCAAGCATACAGGCTTGAATCTGCCACAGCCCCTGGACTGGAGGAGCTCAGTTTAGTGGGGGACAGGGATTTATAGCCAGGGAATCACAGTACAACGTGATTACGGAAAGCATCAGAGACTCTAGCAGCCAAGAAACGGAGACTCCATTATCCTGGAGGGCTGGAGGAGGCTCTGTAGTTGAGTCCGGAAAAGACTAGCTCACCAGGAGCACAAGGAACAGAAAGCGGAAGGAATGGCATGTGCGAGTGTCCAGAGGTGTGTGTTCTGGAACAGTGAGGCATTCGGTGGGGGCAGAGCTGAGTATGTGGGATACAGACTGGAAGTAAGTGTAGGCAGGGGCTGCAGGCCATGCTAGGCAGTCAGGATTTTATTCTGGAGGGAGTGACTGAGCAGGTGACAGGTCATGGTCAGAAAGGCATGTTGGATCACTGTGGCACTGATGCACTGGAAGGGGAGGAATATGGAGGCAGGGAGACTGGCTCGGGGATCATTACAGCAGCTGGGTGAGGGATGAAGAGTGTCTGCAGAAAGGTTGTGTCAGTGAGAACGGAGAGAAGGGGCTGAGAACACAGCGGACACTCAGGAGGTAATACTACCAGGACTTTCTGTCTCCCAAATGCTGTTTTTCCCAAGGCTCTCTCCTCCCCCACGTCCTCCCTCTGGTTGATTAGATCCACAGCGCCCACTGCCACCCATAACTCTGACTCTCCCATCCTGACCACTCTCTTAAGCTCCAGACTATAAAGCCAACTGGCACCCTTGGATGTCCCACAGACACCTTGAACTCAACGTGTCCCAAACTGCCCACCCCCATTCCCCTCCCCTCAGCCAGCCCGAATGGCCCACACCCCACCCGATCCACTGCTCCGAACTCACAGAATGGCAGCACCAGCCACACAATCTCCCAAGCCGGAAATCTGAAACTCCCAGAATGCACCTCCTTCGGCCCCATACCCAGTCTGTCATCAAATCCTGCCTCTTCCAGGCATAACAGTGGGGCAGATATGGCTCTAGCTGCTTCTGTGTGTGAGTGCAAACTGAGTACGTGTCTGTGTGTTGGGGGTGTGGTATGCTTCTAGCTGTCAGTGAGTAGCACTTGGTATATCTGCCTCCATCCATCCATCCATCCATCCATCCATCCATTCAACCATCCCATCATTCTTTTAACAGTCTACCCCATGCCTGGTCATTGGCAGTCCTGCCACATGGATCTCAGGAAAAAGAAAGGACATGACGTCCAAAAAGGGGCCCGGATAGGGAGGCAGGCTTGTGGGATTTGAGAAAGACCTATGGGAGGACCTCCTTGTGTGTGTGAGGGGCCTTCTGGAGAGCCGAAGTCCACTGCCTATGGTGTCAGACAAAGTAAAGGGCTGGACCGGGGACAGTGCCATCCAGGAAGAGCTCCCTGACACCCCAGATTGGGTAGGAGGCCCCCTCTGTACTTTTCTCTCAGGATCAGCATAATAGATGTCACTATGTCATGAGTGACAGGTCTGAGTCATCTTTGACTGAGTCATCCCCAGGATCCAACACACAGATACATGGGCTGCTTCAAATGTCCTCACCGAAGCCAGAGCTTCTTCCTTCCTGGCCTGGGGGAACAGTTCCTGTGTCTTGCACTGCCCCGCCGGGCCGCCAGAGGTCAGTCAGAGCCCAGGGGTGCGGGCTCAAAGCTGCTCTCCCCACAGAGCTCTGGGCCTCGGCCAGCCCCGGGGTAGGAGAAGACCTGGCACTTCCATATCCCCTGTGATCCTGCATCCTTTCGCAAGTCCCCATCTGTCCCCTGGGGATCCTGGAGGTGGAGGGGGCCCAGAGGCACCCCCCCTCCTGTCAGGCCCCCGCCCCCGCCCAGACCTGGCTGCGGGACACCTGCCACTGCTCACCTGTAGATCTTGCGGTAGGAGAGGTCACACCAGTAGATGCGATTGGTGGCAACTTCGACATCCAGTGCCACGACGTTCTTGAGCATGGGGATGAGGCGCGAGTAGTCCCGCTTCACCAGGTCTATCCTCCGCACTTCATGCCGGTTGGTGAAGATCAGCGACGGGCTTCTGCCAGCTAGCAGGCGGGAAGGTTGAGAAGACGGGTCAGTGCAAAAGGCGGGGCTTAGGATGCAAAGTACCATATATAACAGAAGGATCTGTATTCTTTTTACTAGACACACACTCCCCCTATTTCCTCCTAGGCTTACACTGAAGGCCTTCTGTGGTGTGACCCCAAGCTCCCTGCCTAGCCTCACCACTCACCCCTAACACACCTTGACTCCAGCCACCAGACCACCTATTATGACCTAGCCACGGCGGGGCCTGGCTGCCTCGGGCCTTTACTCAAGTGGTCCCCTCTACCTAGAATGCACTGCTCCCCAACTCCCCTGCTTAGGGTCCCACTGCAATAGTTCACGAAGGGGCCATGTGAGCATTAAGTGTTTTAGAAAGGGGACTGAGGCTGGAGTGCGAGGACGAACATCAGAACTAGGGTGAGGTTTAAAAGAGAAGACACAGGCTCAGACTCCTCTCCCTGAAGACTGGGGCTTTAGTTTATGCGGAATGTGTTTGGGGACATGACAACAGAGGAAGCTTCAGAGGCTGGCAGGGATCAGGAAGGGTCCTGGGAGCTGGGTGCAGAGTTTGCCCTTGACTCTGAAACAGTGGCAGGGATGGGATATGTGCGATATACAGCACAGATTATATACGTGCAATGGAGACAACACACGACTACCCATGCACACACAAGTCGTTTTTAGACTTAGGAGGATATTTTAGGAGATCACTAGTGACCGAGACATTCCTGGCTACTCAGTATGAGGGTCACTACCCCAGAGGCCTGTGAAGGACCAGCACTTAACTCCGGTTTCACTCCTCCAGCCTGGTGTTAGATGTATGGGGCTACTCTCAGATACCAATACCTGTACCTGGAGCCGCATGGGCCTTTTCCCCGTTTTCCAGCTGACACTTCAGCAGGCCACCTGGTCCCTGTCACTGTGCATCTATGCCAGGCTAATGAGTTCCCTGGGGGCCGGGTAGGTGATGGCCTGTGCCCTGTGTGTGGTGATGGGCCAGGGGAGGGGGGAGGGGAGGACGTGATACCCTCAGAGAGTCCAGAGAACCAGAACTCCGGGTGCAGGAAGGAGAAAGGAGAGCCGACTTCAAAGCCCTGCCCCTGACTGTGCCATTTTCCTCATCCCAAAACGAGAGCAGCGACACTATCCTCCGGAAGCCAGGAGCTGGGTTACAGGGTATCTTGAGGCCGTTTCTACGGAGAGAGGTCTGTGATTGGAACCCAGTGTGCGGATGGTTGGGATTTTTGTGTGACTGCACTTTAGATGTTCCTCTGCGGGCCTTGTGATTACAGGGCAGTTGTGGGTTGTCTCCACTGCACGTACATAATCCGCGTGTGGATGACACGCGCCCCACGTGGGGGATTGGGGGGCGGCGAGAACCGGCTGCACGTGGCGCGTGAGGCGCTAACGTGTTGCGTCTGGCGCAGTTGGGGTACGTTTTGGGGTTTGCAGGCTTCGTGTCCCTTACTGCGGCCGCTGTCCTGTTACAATCCGCACACTGCGCATCGTATGTGCGCATCTGAGCTCCAGACTCGTACGTCCAGCTGCCTCCTCACTACCTCCACTCGGATGTCAGAACAGCTTTCTTGGAAACTCAGCATGCCCAAATCAATGTACTGTTCTCCCAACCCTGCTTCTCGCACCATCTTTCCCAGCTCCATAAATAGCAATCCTGTTTCCCCAGTTGTTTGGCCAAAAGCCTTGCAGTCATCTTTGATTTTTTTTTTTTTAACTCTCACATCCCACTTTCAATTGGTATGTGAATCCCGTTGCTTCAGAATAAGTCTTGAGCTTCAGAGTATGTCCAGTCTGTCTGCTTCGCACTGTTCACACTGCAACACCCTGGTCCAAGCCACCATCTCTTCTGGGTTATGGCCCAAAACCTCTTCAATGGTTTCCCTGCTCCCTCCCGTGCTCCCTACGGCCTCCTCCCAGCACAGCAGCCACAGGAAGCCTGTGGAAATGGAAGGCACAGCACACCCCTCCTCTACTCAAAACCCTCCAAGGCTTCCCCCCGGCTTGGGGTGAAATCGAGAGTCAGCCCTTATAACGGTCTAGAAGGCCCTGTGATCGGCCCGGAGTCACCTCGCTGACTTCATCTCCTATGCTCCTTGCCCCAGCGACGCCGGCTTCCACGCTGTCATCCGAACACACCACACACGCTCTGGCCGTAGGGCCTTTGCACTTGCTGTCCCTTTGGCCTGAAATGTGGCTCTTGCAGGTAACTGCACGGCTCCTTCCTTCACCTCCTCTCATGAAGGTCATTCCTTGACCGCTCCATCTAAAACCGTAGGCCTGCCTGCCACCCCGCGCCCCAGACTTCCCTCTCCCCTTCTCCACGTTGTGTTCCTCCTTAACCATGACCACCGTCTGCCATGCTCTCTATTTTACTTATTGATCAGATTTCTTGTCTGTCCCATCCACCAGGATGTAAGTCCCGGGAGGGCACACAGGGATCCGTGTCTGCTTTGCTTACTGCCGAATGCCCCGTGCCTACGACAACGTGTCGGCCTGCGCACGTCACGCGCTCCATGGGGACTGTCTGTGCTGTGTGCGTCGTCTGCACGGGCCAGTGTGCGTCTGTACGCTGCGCGTGCTGCATGGGCCATCTCTGCAATCCCGGGTGGCTCTGGGCAGGGTCTGTGCGGGCGTTCGTGTGCAATGTGCTGTGTGTATGAGGTATACTTAGAGTCCGAGTGCTTCGTGTGTGTGTGCGCGCGCGCATCCGTATACCCATCTGCTCCACACATAGGTGGCAGCAGGCTGCTTTCTGTGTCCCCTTGGGGCTGCCCCCGTGCCCCCCACCTTGGGGTGCCCATACCAACAGCCTTGCAGTTCTTGGTCAGCGTGTCCATCTCGTAGCCAGGGTGGCACTCGCACTTAAAGTAGCCCTTGTAGTTGACACAGATCTGGCTGCAGGCATCGGGGTCCTCACACTCGTCAATGTCTGTGGGGAGCGGAACACAGGTCAGAACCGGCAGGGCGCTCCGCCTCTGCTTGGGGGGTGCGGGGGGCGGTGAGGGGAGGGTCTCACCGCCGCAGGTCTTCTGGTCTAGGAGCTGGTAGCCTGCTGGGCATGTGCACTCAAAGCCGATCTTGAGGTCTGTGCAGATGTGGGAGCAGCCACCATTGTTGTGCAGACACTCGTTCAGCCCTGGGGAGGGACACAGGCTCCTGAGGGTCCAGGAGCCCGGGCTAGGGTGGGGGCAGGGCAGGGGTTGGGCCTAGAGCTGAGGCAGAGACTCAGGGCAGCAGGACCCTCACAGAGCCAGGATGCTGAGCCGCAGCGTCAGTAACCAGGTGACTGGGCAAGAGGAGGCTCCGGGCCGGACACAAAGACAGGGACAGAGTGGAACTCAGGTCCTTTGTCTCCCAGGTCAGGGCTCTGTCTACCTGGAGGCTGGAGGCAGTTAGGCCGCCTAAGGTCTCTCCTTTCACAAACACGGGTCTCACCTCCTCCTTCCTCGTGACCTCATCGTGCAGGGATCACCCCCAACCCTCAGGATACATTAAGAAACCCTTCTGAAATGCCCTTGCTTAAACATCTACAGCCTCTAGGAGCCCCCTTCCTTCTTAGGAGAGCCTTCCTCACTAGACTGGCCTTCCTAAAGCTTCTGCTCCCTCTCCTCTGCTGGGTGGGGTTGGCCAGAGTCTGATGGCTCCCTCAGAATCTCCTTAAAGCACTGATTTCTGGTGCCCTGCCATTCAAGTGCCTTCCTCTGGACACATGTCCCTCCCTGGACAGGGCCCAGGGCTAGTCTGCTGTTGCCCAGAGGGAGTCTGAACAACAAAGGCTGTCCCCACTGAGCTTGTGGTTATCTAAGACCCCAGCCTTTTCTACACAGAGCTGCTGCTCGGTCAGTTCTCTCCTACCACGGAATATGATGGATTATTTCCACCTTCTCCCCTCTCAGCACCTGTCCCTCTTCCTACACTCAGTCACAGGCCTGGTCCTGGGAGTACCAACTGCTGCAGGGGCTGAAGGGATGCCAGGAGCTCATCTGGTCTCCCCATCCTCCATTCCCTCGGCCCCTCTGGCAGAGTCCTAGGGGAGGTTAGGGAGGCCAGCACCAAGGCTCACCATGTTCTCACAGCATCTTCTGGGCTTTGGAATCACAGGTTAATTCTGCAAGCCAAGAGAAGGTGCCCTGCCACCCTTCTACCCACCGGGCTCATGCACCGCCACTCCAGACAAGCCAAGCAGAGCTGAGCTAAGCGAGCTGTGGCCATGCACACAGCTGGTCTGAGCGGCCCACCCCAGGCCATGCACAGCTGTGGGTGCCCCACCTGCAGCCTGAGCCATGCAAAGGGATGATTCCCCTTTACCCCTGGGCCTCCTCCTGTTTCCCTGGGATGCTGGTGGAACTGAAAGAACAAGATCACAGCAACCCCATGACTGGAGGGTCTGGCGGGGGGGGACTCAGCCCAGAGTCCCCTGGGATGGGCTGAGCCACGGCAGCTTTGAAGGGCTCTCTGTGGGGCACCACCTCCAGAAATCTTCTGTCACTCCACGCCTTCCCTGACCTCTCCTTACTGTATTATTCCCTCAGTGCCATCCATCCACCTGCTCACCGCTCACTCACCGCCTCATTCATGCACCACTCACTGCCACCCCCCACCCCCCGTAGGTAGCAGCAACTCAACAGCTGTATTTACTGAGCACTTGACAGACTAGCATATGTAGGATGGCTCTGAAAAGGGAGAAGGGAGAGCTCGAAGTGGCTCAGGTTTCTCTGAAAGAGAAAAGCACAGAGTCCTCTAGCGCGGAGGTGCATCCGGGCGAGAGAATGAGAGTGGGTCCGGACCTTGTTGACCCTGCTCTGGAAGGCCAGCACCAAGGCAGAGGCCGGAGGGGATCCCCTGGGCCTCCCCAATTCATCTAGCCTGGAGGTGATTCTGCTGGGTGCTTGCAGGGGAGGAGGGGGCTGGTGGTCCAGAGGCCGCCATGGAAGGAAGGGCAGAGTCACTCTCCCCAGCACATGCGCGTCCCTGCATGCATGCTCACACACACCAGCAGATGTGCGGAGGCAGCAGCAGGTCCGTGGACTCCACAGACACGTTCACACGGATGCAGGGACCCACAGAGACACGACTAGCGGTTCCCTTGCCTTACTCAGAGGAGGAGCCATGGACACAGACTTTGGCCTCTCCCCCACACAGAGACACAAATACATGCATACATACTGCTCTTAGGTGTGTCATGCAAAAGACCAAAAAGAAGAGATTTAGTAGGTTAGCAGTCCCTGGCTAACTCCAAACCTGGGTGGGGTGGGGGGCTAGGCTCAGTTGCTTCCACTTCCCTATCCTCTTTTGCCCGGGTTCCTTCCTCTGGGACTTTTCCCGGCAGGGCCTCTGAGAGAGAAGGAGGGCCCAAGAGGAGTGTCTGTCCTGCCAGCTCAGGTGCAGCCTGAGTGACCTTCACCCAACCACTCTTCCTTTCAAAATCAATTTTAAAATCTCCAGCAGGGGTGGAGACATGCTGCTTCTGGGGAGTTCTAGAGAATGAAACTCCCTGGAGTGCCCAGGAGGGGAGGTGCTGAGTGAAAACGGGTCTGTCAGGAAGGTAGGGTTTGATCTAGGCTCTGTCCTCCCAGGAATTCTCTGTCCAAACCCCTGAGCTCAGAAATGAACCTTCGTGGAGCCCACACTGGGTTTCCAGCATGTTCTGTGGGATGCCCACCTCACCTACAGCCCAGACTCTCCTGTTCTTTTTAGCCTGGAACCCACCCTGACAGCTCTAGCCCCTTACTCGTGCCCAGCCTATAAGTCTTGCCTCCCAGAAAGTCCAAGCTCCTTGGGAATAGAGGGTAGCAGGCAGGTAGCCAAGTGAGGTGCATCCCAAGGCCACCTGGCTCAGGCCAGGCCTGAGTGAGGATAAGGCAGACCTTGGGATGCACCTCACTTGGCTACCTGCCTGCTGTCTCCTACCTCTCCCTCTGCAGGGATTCCTGCAGGGGGCTGGAAGGCCTCAGAGGCCAGGGCCCTGGCTAGGTCAGCAAGACAGAAATCACTGAGGAGGAAAGTTTCAGAGGGAGCACACACTCAGAGGTCTGAATGTGGAAGGAGTGAGGAGGAGAGGCCGAGTTTGTGAGAGGAAGCATAACTGAGCGTCTGGGTTGGAAAGGAAAGGCAGCTCGATTTGCAGAGATGCAGAATGAGGCCCCAGAGGCAGAGTCCCGCCTGAGGCCACAGGACAGCGCACGAGTCCAGAGAGAGGGTCAGAGCAGAATGTGTGCAGAGGGGCAGGCATAGGCCTCGGCCCAGATGCCAGGAGGGGGCTGGGTGGGGGGGGGTCAGTCCAGCAGCCAGAAGGAGACAGGTACTGTACCACACTCTTTCAGAGGCTCATCCGACCAGTCCCGGCAGTCTCTCTGAGCGTCACACACTTTCCCGCCGTCCACGCACTCGCCACTCTTACACTGAAATCTGCGGGGACCCTCACATGTTGACTCTGTCGGGCCGGACAAGAGAGTGGACAGGACCTGTGAGACCTTGGGCAGGGAGGGCTAGGCTGGTCTAGGTCCATGGGAGGCGAGCCGAGCTCCAGCCCCAGTCCCCACTAGTCTCTAGAGGACCCAGGACAGACAGGTGAATACAGGGCTGGTGGGAGCTCTGCTCTCAGAAGGGCGGGACCCCAGGGATAATCAGGATACCCAAGCATCATCTAGCTGGGTGAGGCAGGGGGCGGGGGTGGTCTGTGCCTGATCTGGCAGTACTGGGCCCTGAGAGAGAAAAGCAGGAGCCCTACAGAGACCCCGGGGACTGGACTGACCATCTGAGGGCCACCTGTGCCCTAGAGGCCCTGCATAGGGGAGGCCACCTCACTGCCCAACCTTTTATCCATTTCCCCAGATGACCTATGGTCAGGGTCCTGGCTCCTGCAAGTGGGGAGTGATGACCAGAGAGTCATCTGAGAATGAAGGGCGTTCCCTGGGGACGGAGGCTCAGCTTACGCTGGGAAAGAAGCCACTCGGAGGCTTGGGCGTGGACAAATGGTGGGGATGGACTTCCTGCAGTGCCTTTTCATGTCCCCCTAGGCCTCTTTTAGCTTTTGCAAAGTCCTTTAAAATCCTGTTCTGGGGCCAGTAGGACCGCAGGGAGTAAATCTGGGTAATTTAGGGGCAAGTGATGCTCTGGGGGAAGACACATCCTAGGGACCAAGGGGAGACCTCTCCGAACTCTGCTCTCCCTGAAGCCGGGAGAGCTCAGGGCTCTCTCAGGGAGGGTGTCGCCCCTCTGCCTCCAACCCCACGCACCCTGCAGGCAGCCAGCTTCATCACTCCCGTCCGGACAGTCCTGTTCCTGGTTGCAGCGCTTGATCGTAGGGACACAAGTCCCATCCCCACACTGGAACTCGTCCCCACGGCAGGTCCCCAGAGCTGCCAGGAGAGGGCAAAGAGGGAGGGTCAGGGCCAATGTGGTGTTGGGACAGCTCTCCTCGCGTAGTCCCCAGCCCCAGCCCATATCCACCCTCAGCAAGAACAGAACCAGTGGCTGAGCTTGGGAGTCCTCAGAGGACACCTGGCCAGGGCACTTGCAGCGTACAGATAGGGAGACTGAAGCTCAGAGAGGGGGAAGGCCTCACCCAGGATCACACAGCACTCTGGCTGGCAGAGCCAGGGCTGAAACTCAGGTCTCCTGTCTTCTCACCCATCGCCTCTCCCCAGGGCCACCTGCCCACAACAGACCCATGGCCTTCTTTTGAGTGTTGGTGCTCATTACTTAACGACTTCATCCCTTCAGCAAACCCTTCCTGAGCGCCGTCTGCATGCCGGGCACTATGTGGGACGTGGAGAACCCAGAGACTACTGGGAGGCTCCCCATCCCCTAGGAGCTCAAGGGGCCCGAGGGAGGTTGAGGAATGAACAGATGACATCACAGCATAGGCTGTGCTGCAGGAGAGGGTAGCTCAGGGTAGCCCAGGGGGAGAGACCCAGCCCAGCTGGGAGGATTGAGGCCATGAAGGACAAGCAGGCCCAGCAGGTAGGAAGGGCAGGGGCAACTCCTGAGCCTACCTGGGTCTCTGGCACTGGGGCTAGCAGGTGAATGCCTGAAATGGGCAAGGGCAGGGGGTGGGAGGCAGGACAGGGAGGGCGGGACCGGAGAAGACCCTGGGCCTCTGGGTTCAGACCTGAGCTGCGGAACTTAGGAGCCTGGGGACCTCCAACTGAGGGCTCCACCTTCCCCAAGCCCGCGTCCCACCGTAACCCAGGTAACCAGGGCGGCGGGGCCGCGCGGTATGGGGTGCACAGGGCGGCGGGAGCTTACGGCAGTCGGCCTCGTCCGACTTGTCCTTGCAGTCGCGGTCGCCGTCGCAGCGCCAGCCCAGGTGCACGCACTCGCCGCTGCGGCAGGCGAACTGGGCGGCGGCGGCGCAGGCGCGGGCGCGGGCGCGAGCGGACGCACAGCCCAGG